GCAAAAATTCCACCAGCTGAGAATGCCTGGTGGCTGCTATTTTTGCCTGCCAAACTCCACCCTTCATTCCTTGACAATGAAAAGCTCAACTTGTGAATTAGCTGAAGTTGAGATAAAGTGTGGTAAATGGCTATGCATGTGTGAATTAAGCCTAAGAACACAGGTGAACCAACTTGCTATCATCCTAGCTTTTAGTTTTAACTTTTTAATGTGTTAAATATTTAATTGCCAGAGGGGTGACCAAGTTAGTCTGTTGCAGAAAAAGGAACTGTCTTGCAGCATCTTAAAGGATAACTAACTTATTCTGATCTAAACTTTTGTGAAAACTGCCTATTTCATCAGTTTCACTTCACTTTTAGTATTAACCTTAGACTAGTGAAGGTGCTACTGGTCTCCTTTTTGTTTAAGAAATGTAACAAAGCCACAACTTAATGATGGTTATAATATGGTATAGTGATAAATCTGATTGGGAGTGGCCACTGTGCAGCAGGGGAACCCCAATGGCCGCGGCAGCAGGGGAATGTTGCACATCTGGCCTGTACCAGAGGTTTGTGCTCTAGTCTAATCAGGCTTACTCTGAGCATACCATCTGCTCTGGTTCTGCAAGCCAGAGTTTGCTACACAGCAAGCCAAGACATGCATATTTTACGTATGCTGACATACTTTGCACTCGAAGTGTGATACTTGATGAACTCATGGCAGAGACAAGCTACTTTATGACAGAGCTTTTATTATTATCACCTAATTAATGGAGTACTATCTCTGAAATGTATCTGCTTCTCTAAGGAAGATGGAGAGGAGGAAAGGATATTGCATTTGATCTAAGTTTTTCAAAGACTTGTCTTAAAAATTGTTTCCACTGCTTAAGTAGGATAAATAATAATATGTGTTTGAATTGGGCAAGTTTATAATTTCACTTTCTCTGTTAGCAAGAAATATTTTTATGCCCTGCAGACTCTGTGGAGGTGTTATGCAGCAGAGAAATCATGCAGCTCCACAGCAACATGGAAGATCTACATTACACCAGCTCGAAACACAAAGAAAATAGCAACACCATCTAGCCCTAATCTCAGAAAACAGGTCAGGAGGAGCATACTTAATCTTTGCATTTTAATCCCATCTTTCCTGTAAGGGGCTTGAGGCAGTATATATGTCCTCTTTTATTCAGACAACAGCCCTTTAAGATTCAAGAAAAATGACTGGCCAATGCAGGAACCTTCATGGAAACAAAGAGCTGAGATTTTAGAAGACATTTAGTATTTGATGAACACAGATCAGCCTTGGTTTCCTCAAATTCACATAAGAAGAATAGAGAAATAGTGCTTATAATCCCAGAATGTCAGGGCAGCCGCTGTCTTGCCACTGTAGTTACATTGGAACTGTGAGAATTTTTTGCAGGGACCAACACAGTGGCCACTTCCCCTGCCAACATCTGATGCTGGTATGGAAAGAATTAACCCTTCAGCTTCTCTCTTGTGTTCTAGGTTAGTGTTTGCCTGGCATGCTATTTTTGAGCATTCTTCTGATAAAATGCCTGCAATTATTGCAGATGTGCATATGATCACCATAGTTCTGACAGAGTCTGCTTAATAGCTCAATTGTTGGGATCTGGGCTGTTCTAGTGGCCAGAACCAGAACAACCACCATAATTTTTGCAGGATCAGTCCCAGGCCCTGCTGGAGCTTTCAATCTAGCTGGCAGTCTTGGGGGAAGAAGAACAAACTCTTCCCTCCTGCTCTGTGATGTTATCTCAGCAACACAGATTTGCCTGTTTGTTGTTGTGCCCACACATTTCCTGCTTCTGATTCCTGCTGTGTTTCCTGTCTTTTCATGTTGTCTTGTTGTTGTGGCTGCCTCTTGCTTAACCTGTATCCTGCCTTGCCATGTTTCTTCAGTGATGCAGGGCTTCTTGTGAGTTGTGCTTCACCTCCTGCATCTTATTTGACCCTCACTGCATCTGTCTCCTGCTGCTCTGTGTCTTCTGTCCTGTTATCCTGTCCAAGATACTGCCACCTCTGCTTGTCCTTCTGGTTCTTGCCACTTGGCTTGTTCCTGATCACATCCTTGTTCTGTCCTCATGCCTTCTTCTGGTTCCTGACCTTGACCTATACCATGACTGCAATTTGTACTGCTCATTAAACCCTGCTTTTGGTCTCTGTCTTTCCTGAAATTCTTTTACCCTTGTTGCTGTTGTCTCTGGCTGCTCATGTTCTGGCCCCAGAGCCTGACATGAATATCTGTGCCACTTTGAGTGTGGGTAGCCAACTGGAATGTTCAGTTCAGGAATATTTCCCATATTTTCTGCAAGAAACTGGAAGCTTGCACTTTCAGTTAGTTCTAGAGAGTGCAGTGCTAACCAATCTTGTCCATATATTGCTGCTTAGAAGCTGAAATCTTTCTATGGGTCTTCTTTTGTTATGGAAAATGGTCTTCTCTTCTACAGAGTAGAAGATACAAGAGAAAGGGAAAACCTGGCCATGATAATGGTTCCACATCTGTAATGAATCCAGGGGAAGCTGCTTTGTCTGTTCCAGAAATTACTTATGATTTCATTGGAGATGGAGAAGACAAGAAAGACCTGAGTTTCTACCTTGATGAACCTGGAGGTAACCTTTACTTTGTATTGACTCCTATAAGTATGCAGGCACTTCATTCAGAAAAATCAGGTATACCTCTTTCAGTAATTTCCTTAATTCTTGCTGAATGAGATCTTGTGGAGGGGATCTTTTCAGATTACAGGTGGAGTCTCACATAATTAAATGTTGCTCCATTAAAAATTGACTTTACACAACATAAAACTAAAGAATGGGAGAAAGGTTTTAGCCTAACCTTCTGCCACATATGCAAAGTTTTTATGTGCAGGTTTTTAAAATAAATTTGATAGAGGATCGTTCAGCCATGTGATTCCCCATCTACAGAGCCCATTGAGGTTTGCTGCCTCAGTAGGAACTAGGTCTGAGGGTGTGTCTAGGTGGAATCTTGCATGATTAAATTATTTTCCATACCCCAAATTCCCTGCAAGTAATGAAGAAGGCTAAACTAAAACTCATCCCATATATCTAGTTTTCTATGAACCGGGAAGTCCATTCTGGAAACTCATTATAACATTACTCAACATAACGAAATTAGATTGGTTAAAATTCAGATTCCAGTGTTTCTTTTCCCTGAGATGTTAATTATGTGAAGTACATTGTCTTGCAATCTTAAAAACACACACTCTAGAGATTCTAAGATCTGGATCTCACAGGTTCTTTATGTGAGTAGTCATTGATTGTTATTTCCACACCTGCATATAGCTGTGTTTGTGGAGGAGAAAATTAGTACAATAAATAAAACAAGACAAAATAGACATTGCTTGTTTGTGTCATGTGCATATATGCTTTGTAGAAAAGTTTATGCAACAAATAATAATACCAACAACAACTTTTATGTGCAAGTGCTTTCAGATAAAAAGCTGTTTTTGTGAAATGTTAGGAGGTAATGTAAGCCTCAAAAGCTGTGTCCTCATGTGTTGGCTCTTCCCAGTGCAACTATTTAGTGCTCTGGATAGGGATGCATTCTGCAGCTTTTTCCAGCATGGATTCTGTGGACTTGCAGAGGTTTGCTTGTTTGTTTTTTCCCACTTTTTGGACAGATTTGGGCAAATGCATCTAAGCAAACTGTGCAGTAGTGCTAATGTATGTTGGTACAAAAGTACCATTTTAGGGATCTGCATGGAATCCATTTCATGCTGAAAATCTTCTGGATTGCCTGTTTTCTGTGCAGATGGAAAGATGCCTGAAAATCTGCAAAACACTGGTGACATGGATTTAAGACAATCTGTACATTCCTACCTATAAAGCCTTCTGAGGGATCCTAGTTCCTTCTTGGCCACCATTTCAGAGTTTGACTCACATTCTTAATTTTCATGCTTGATGACATGTGCTTTACTTGGGTATATCTACCAGAGTGAAAAACAGCCCTCTGAAACGGCAAATATTTATATGTTTCTAACATTGATTACAAATGCAGTGTATCTACATATTGCATGTATGTGTGATATTGTGTAGAACTTTGAGGTTGTTCTAAGTTAGCATTTTCCAGATTGATGCTGTCTGTATGTTTTAGGCTTCAACTTTTATAAGTTCCAGCCCATGGGGCTACATGTCAGGGATGCTGAGTTATAGTCTAAAATGTTTGGAGGGCACCAGGCTGGGAAATATTGTTCAAAAATGACAAATACTGTGGAAATCCTCCCAGGATTTTGTATCAGTAGTGAGGGTGCTCTGTATGTTCTGTTATGCAGTTTTCAGTATGTGACTATTGCAGCAGAAAGTCTTATCCAAGCATCTTGAATATCCAGCCTTCTGTTGCCCTCCAGTTCTATGTAATGCACCATTTTTGTTGTAAATTTAGGAAAATTGGGCAGAGTCAATCAGAAATGGAGGTTGGGTGTCATTTCAAAACCCCATGGTACGTCACTGAGGCTATTCTAAATAGCAGAAGCCTCCAGCCTTTTGAAGGTGACTTTGTTAGTGAAAACCACTCTTTAAACAGAATTCCATAATTGTTTCCTCTGTTTTTAAAAAACCCAAAGCACTCTGGGAAGGCTATGTTTGAGTGAAAGAAGGACACATGGAGGATGCTATATAATTACTTCCCTTGTCAGTTCAAAGTCACTCTTTCCAGGCTGCTTTTTCACTCTTAAGAGAAAATCTGCAGGATCAAAAAGGAGATGGTTAAGCAGGCTTCTGCTCTTCTATTCAAATACTGGGATATACTGATGTGGTTTCCTATGTGAAATGAAAAGGATTGGGACTTCAGTTACATGTGCTTCCTGCTGGGCTTAATCTTTGCCAGGGCTTGGCTCCAGCATCTGTTCTCAGTGTTGGACCTTAATCCTGAAATACACAAAGTTAAAAGATAAATGCCTCTAAATACACATAGAATGTGTTTTCCTAACCTTCAAGTCCCTGCACATCAGTAAGGAAAGGTCATGTTTCCTGAATCTCTTTTTCTAGATTTAAAGTATTGTGTAAACTCCCTTTCACCATGCAGTTAACACTGTTTTAAGGCCAGCCACTGAGGACCCAAGGTCTAGGTTTGCATGTATGGCCAACCATTGTGGCTTATTGGATCATGTGAACACAAGTGGGTTTGTCAAGTGGCTTATGTTGTAAATCATGCCCTTCAAGGTATAAAATTATCTTATTTCTTAGAGTTATCCATTCTTTTAACCACATTAAAGCACAAGCTTGTTGGTATAGCATCCAGTCGTGAAGACCAAAGCCCCCATTCCCTTTGGCTTCCTGAAGCATTTTTAATTTAATCCTTGATTTCTTCTTTTGCCATATGAATTGTAAGATTTGGGTATTTAAATTATCAAAAAACTTTTTATCAATTTTTATAGGAATTGTTTGGAATAGGAACAAAAGCTTTGGTAATATATTCATTTTAACTATAGATATTATTCCCAAAATGGTAACTGCAAATTAGCCCATTTTTCTAGATCACTCTTGATCTCCTTACACAGTTTAATATAGTTATCTTCTTTTAGTGTAACACACTTAGCTGTAAGAAAGATTCCTTTTTAACAATTTGAAGGTCTACTTGCTGTGTCAGAGTTGTTTTTTGTTCCAATGTAAGATTTTTTACTAACAGTTTAGTCTTTTCTCTATTTTCATCCCAGTAACTTCACCATAATCTTCTATCTTTTTTAAAAGTTTAGATGTTGTTACCAACAGATCTTCTAAAATAAAAACTAAGTCATCTGCAAATGCTTGACGTTCATAGCTTTCATCTCTAATTCTAGTACCTTTAATATCCATATCTTCCCTAACATTTCTATTTAGCACTTCTAAAATCAATATGAATAACAATGGTGATAAAGGACATCCTTGTCTTGTGCACTTTTGAATGTCTATGATGTTTGTAAATTCTCCATTGACTATTATCCTAGCAGTCTGTTTTTGATAAATGCTTGATACTGCATTAATAATTTTTCCACCAAATTCCATTTGCACTAATTGTTGTTTCCTAAATTGCCAATTCACATTGTCAAAGGCCTTCTGTGTATCTAGAAACAATAGTGCCATTGGTTTTTCAGAATGAATGTCATAGTATTCTAGGATATCCAAAATAATTCTCACATTGTTCCTAATTTGTCTCTTAGGTAGGAAACCATTTTGATCTGTATGTATAAAGTCTACTAAGTATTTCTTCAGTCTTTCTGCCATTACAGAGGCAAAAATTTTGTAATCTACAAAATAGGTCTGTAATTTTGAATCTGTGTTAAGTCCGTGTCTTCTTTTGGTAATATTTGCCTCTGTCCAAGTATTTGGTATTTTAGCATCCAACAGTACAACATTGCATATATCCTTTAAAGGTGTAGATAAAATTCCTTCAAAAGATTTATAAAATTCCACTGGTAGTCTGTCCGGACCAGGGGTTTTATTATTTTTTTGTCTCTTAATCGACTCAATTACTTCTGTTGTTATTTCCTCATTTAATATTTTTTGCTATTTCTCTGACAGTTTTGGTAGATTTTCCTTTTAAATATATTCATTAACCTTTTCATTTGATATTTCTTTAGCTCGATATAGCTTTGTAAAAAAAATCTTCCACTATTTTCTTAATTGACATATTTTGTACCTGTAGTTGTCCTTCTCCATCATACAGCTTAGATATTAATCTCTTTTCTCTTTCCTTTTTTAATTTGTAGGCCAGCCATCTCCCTGGTTTGTTAGCATTTTCAAAGAAATTCTGTTTAGTCAATTTCATTTGTTTAACTAGTTTGTCTCTAAAAGATTTCATTTATGTTTTAAAATGTTCATCTGTATCTTGAGGTCCTTTTTTGATGGATCTTCCTGTAACTTCTGTTCAAGTTTTGACCGATCATGTATTAATTTAAATCATTCTTGTTTTCTCTTTTTTTATTTTTGCTGAGTAGGTTATAATCAAACCCCTGAGATATGTTTTAGCTGTGTCCCAAACATTTTGTAAGGTGGTTTCTTCAGTTTTATTTTGTTGGAAGAAAAATTTTAATTCCTTTGTTATTTCTTCTTTGAAGTTTTTATCTTTTAATTAAGATTTATTGAATGTCCATCTGGGTGTTTTTATTGTTCCTTTCAGGGTCATGGTGATAGGATTGTGATTGGTCCAGACACTTGTGTCTATTTCAGCTTCTAGCAGGTCTGGAATTAAGTCTGGGGTTATCCAAATCATATCAGTTCTCGACCATGACCTATGCCTGTTCAAGTAGAAAGTATACTTGGCAGAGGTTGTATTTTTGTGTCTCCAAACATCTATTAGTCTAAATTTCTCTAGTATATTAAAGAAGGACTTTGGAAGTATTATCCTTCCTTTCTTTCCATTAATATCATTCTTATAGTCTATTTTTGTTGACAATTGCATTAAAGTCTCCCATTAAACACAAAGTTTTATATTCAGTTTGTAAGACAAAAGTATGTAATTTTTGATAGAAAGTTTCTTGATGGTCATTTGGAGCATAAATCACCACTAGAAGCACCTTTTTATTTTTTATTGTCACTTCAACCAATAGAATTCTACCATCTTCACCTGCAAAAATATGCTTAGAATCCAATTTTTCTTTAATATATAAAGCCAA